AGACATATTCAAAAGTCTCAAACCATAATATTCTTCCAATACAAACAGTTATTCACTATTTGGTAGAGCAAGCCAGCAAGGTCAACTGTCAAATTTGACACATTTTTTGATGATCTCACTGGGTAGCGTGCATTGTCTCTCTTTGGATCTCAATATTTTCCTGCTAGATGGCCAAGACCTAGTGTTTGGCAGTATAGTTTGACTTTGACATGCAAATGTATGACGTCACCATTTCAACCATCAACAAACGCATGGAACTAAAACAAAGCTTAATATAAAGGAAAAACTAAAGAGGTAACGAAATTATGAACAATGTTGGAATATACCGCGTTTACCCTACACCGGCCTACACCCTGACCCTACTGTCTAACTCACAGGCCATAAAAAGTAAAAACAAATAGCTAAATGTTACACTTGCAGCAAACATAGGCATTTTTGTATTTTGTTTCATTTACATTGGCTTTTGTCTGATTTTCCAGAATCAGAAAGTCCTTGAAGGCTTGACAACTTGACAAGTTGACAAGCCAGGAAAATGCCAGAATTTCAGAACTTCCTTATCACTTAGGTAGCTGGTAGCCTAATGTCTCTTCACTCTCTTGTTGTAGTTGTTGACATGTTGAGTTGTTGTCCTGCTCCTGCATAATTAAGTGTAAAAAAAAAAACAGTACAATTTTGCCATGGCCATACAACTTCTTAGTTCTCAAACACCAAAATTATGTGACTTTGGAAATTGGAGCTTCAGAGCTTGGGTTTCAAGTAAAAAAGTGGGCATCTACCTAGATTCTAGCCTTGCTATGAAAGTAATGAAACTGAATTAATTAAGAATTATGGGGATAATTTCCATACATAAGTCATAAATTATGAAATAAGGTATTTGGATTTAAAAAAAAAATATAAAATTTTAGCACAAAATTCTGATCTAGTTGGATCGAGCTTTAATTACTTAAATTCATTACATATGATGATATGGAGCTTTGCGAGATCATACACAAAGTACACACCATGCACTTTATTACCGATATTACGTACAACACTCGAACTCGATGAGCGGGCGGATGTCGGATGACAGCCTTACAGCTGACTCGCACCTGAAGGCTGTACGCTGTAGCGTGGCCGTGACGCGTGTAAGATGGTGTCATCAGCTACGGCACTAAGTCTGTAATGGAACGTGGATAACTTGTAATCCCTTAGTCTACTCCGCCCTTTAGCAGGCTTACGCACGGAAAGGAGGATGAAAGATATGCTGGTCTTGGGCTATGCTGGCCTCCGGCATGCATCCCGGATGCAATAGCAGCAATACCAAGGCCTATCTCTCTGTGTAACAACATTTCAGCAAACGAGCAGACGTCCGCAAAAAAAGCATGAGAATGTTGATATTTTTTTCCGGACTACTAACTTATTTTGAGGCTCAGCGTTCTTTCAGAATAATAAAAAATCTTTACATGTATAAAAATATTGAGGAAGAATGTTTTGATGCAACTTTTGCAGGTCGCTGCGAAGTTCTGGTTGTGCTGGCAGAAAACGAAACGTTTCGACCGAAATGTAACGATATTAATATTATACAATAAATTTAAAGCCATCATAGATTTTGGCGGGCCAATGAGGTTACAAAATGCCCTGAAAAGTCGAATTTGGTCGGAAAAGAGCACCGATTCGACACTTCAGCGAACTCTCCTGCGAGCTCGAATGCAAAAAATTCCCCCCGCAAACTACTGATATTATCTACTTATATTTCAAATTTGAATAAAATCTGTTCATAATTGAAGGAGTTATGAGTGCCAGAGTTGAAAATGAAGTTAGGTTTTGCATTCGAGCTCGCAGGCGAGTTCGCAGGCGAGTTCGCTGAAGTGTCGAATCGGTGAAAACAGCTCACCTGACAACATGGACTATGATGGCTCTAGTCGGTTGTCGCTGCCAAATGAATGATTGCTATCTCCAACAGCAAAACTGACATTTTTACACATTTTTACAAACTGAGAAATAATTTCATAATATATATTTCAATAATTATGTATCGTTGGCCTGGATTACATTTCAAAAGAGCAATGTCTCGTTTTCTTTGTTTCCTTATTATTGAAGTTGTTTTCGAAGGTCTTCCCTGTTTTCATCTATCAAGTCTGATGAATAAATACTCAGCAAGATCAGCAATATTGTTTAGTCTGTAAGCATCTAATAGGCCTTGTTACTTGAAATTAAAATCGAAATAATTTTAACCAAATATATGATGATTTAATGTTCCCTAATTTTTAAAAATAACTAAACGAAAGCAGAATTATTCTAGACTGAAAACTTTGCGGCAAACCAAACCGACTGTAAGCTGTGCTGAAATAGTCTATCATTAAATGTATAATTCTGGGTGATACTTTTTGCGTGTTTTCTCTCGTTTCACCAGCTTTGTAGAAGAAGTATTCAATTCTTACGGTTAACAATCATTACTCCGCGTTCAGCTTGAATTTTTGAATGTATGCTCATGGTTTTACCACAGTACGACCAGTAAACGAACAGTACTGCACAGTAAACGATATGCAATACTGTAAAGTAAACGAACAGTACTGTACAGTAAACGAACAGTACTGTACACTAACCGAACAGTATTGTACCGTAAACGAACAGTACTGTACTATTTAGTACTGTACAGTAAACGAACAGTACTGTATTTTCGAGTACTGTACAGTAAACGAACAGTACTGTACTGTCGAGTACTGTACAGTAAACGAACAGTACTGTACTGTCGAGTACTGTACAGTAAACGAACAGTACTGTACTGTCGAGTACTGTACTGTCGAGTACTATACTGTAAACGAACAGTACTGTACTGTCGAGTACTGTTCAGTAAACGAACAGTACTGTACTATCGAGTACTGTACAGTAAACGACCAATACTGTACTGTGTAGTACTATACAGTAAACGAACAGTACTGTACTGTCGAGTACTGTACAGTAAACAAACAGTACTGTACTATCGAGTACTGTACAGTAAGCGAACAGTACTGTACTGTCGAGCACTATACAGTAAACGAACAGTACTGTACTGTCGAGTACTGTACAGTAAACGAACAGTACTGTACTGTCGAGCACTGTACAGTAAACGAACAGTACTGTACCGTCGAGTACTATACAGTAAAGTAAACGAACAGTACTACTGTACTGTCGAGCACTATACAGTAAACGAACAGTACTGTACCGTCGAGTACTATACTGTAAACGAACAGTATGTACTGTCGAGTACTGTACAGTATACGAACTGTACTGTACTATCGAGTACTGTACAGTAAACGAAAGTACTGTACTGTCGAGCACTATACAGTAAACGAACAGTACAGTACTGTCGAGTACTGTACAGTAAACGAACAGTACTGCACTGTCGAGTACTATACAGTAAACGATCAATATTGTACTGTCGAGTACTGTACAGTAAACGAACAGTACTGTACTGTCCAGCTCGATGAACTGTCCCCGATTATTAGGATTCATATGTTTTCAAATCAATTGCAGGCAAAGAAATTCGCTAGGTAACATCCCTTATATTATAGTAATAATAATAGCGGTTTCAGCGTTCAGTAGGCCGTAGGCCTGTCGCCGATTCTTATAACATCGCAGAACATTCACAGCATTTTGCGGTCTCGAACTCGCAACTCACTGCTACAATTCTGCCGTGCTTAACCGCCCGGCCTCCTTGCCGATTCTGACTGGCGCACAGAGCTGTGATCGAACCCGCGCCTCTCTGCGCCAATCTTGATACTCTGAACTTTAATTAACCACGGGGCCACACTGCCTTCATATTACGAAGGAATAATTAACCTGTCCTTAATTCAGATACAATAATATGGCATGTATAGTATTAATGAACTATTAATGTGTCCTCAATTCAGAAACAATAATTATGGCATGTATAGTATTGATGAATCATTAATGTGTCCTTAATTCAGAAACAATAATATGGCATGTATAGTATTGATGAATCATTAATGTGTCCTTAATTCAAATGCCATAATATGGCATCTGAATTGCACACTCCTGCGGACTTCTAATTTATAACGTGGAGAATTGAGAGGCGAAATCTTATGGAACAGCCGGCTAAAAAGTGGACAAATTTAAGGGATGAGATTTGTCCATTTCGGAATTATCATGCAGGTTGATCAAAAATTTCCCCATATAATTGCATAAATAAATGTTTTAACAATCTAATATATCTGAGGAGTGTTTATTTTCCTCGTTAATGACAGCTTCCCCCTTCAATAAGGTTATGTTCATATGTTTACTTCACATTACATTGCTCAACGAGACAAAAATTCCGATACATAATTCGATGAATAATTTCAGTCGATAAATGTTTTTTTTTTTTTTGTAATGCGGTGCGTCCATGAATTAAAAATTGTACTCTTTAGGAAATAAATGTTCCTAAACAAGCATGAAACCTCATTTAATAAGTGCTCATAAGCTTACCAGGTACTAAAATTAAGCAACAGTTTGAAATTACAGTTGGAGATCAAGGGCTTGCTGTTGGCAAGTGGCAGTAATACATCGGATTTGCAAGCACTAATTAACGTATTTACCGCTCACAATATATGAAACATGCATACTTTTCTACGTAGACCTTGTTAACGGCATTGTCCTCGGTTAATTGAAATTGCATGCCGAAGGAAGCCTTTGGTTGAAGGTTGAACTTAACGGTTCTTCTATTGAATTGTATTTTTTGTGAGAGGCCACAAGCTTTGACTATGTTAACACTTAACATAATAAAGAAGGGCGTAGGAAGGGGCATGTAAACACAGCGTGTAACCTGTGTTGCTTAGCGACGCAGCGCCTACAACGACAGGTGTCCCGGTATTGCAGATCGACTCAGCCAAGGACAGTGAGGTGCTGAGTGAGGGTGTGGACCGGGCTAAAAACTCATCATGTGAGTGAGACTGTCGTATTCTCAGGCAATGAGAGAGGCAGTGTTCCATGTTTGTCACATTCGCAGAATTATTAATGACTTCATAAGCAAAACAGACCCTATAAAGCTATGACTTTTCAAGACGTTCTATCAATCGGGGATGTTGAGCTAACATTTGTGAACAATCTTGAATTGGCACCGCTTCGATTGATATTTTTTGTGACGAGTGACTCCAACCTAAAATGTTTTCTGATATTAATAAACAGACTTAATACTTTTAGCATCGTGGCGACTCTATAATTAAAGAAGCATCAAGGTTTGGCTCAATTGTTTCCTAGTTTTTGAAGCAAGTGTCGCATAAAGTGGAACAACAATGACGTCATCTCTCCTTGAGGTCATTTTCGTAAAATGCTCAACGCCACGTGACGTCATTGACGCCAATGCGCAACTTCACTTTACGTCGATGGCTCAATTTCACTTTACGTCGATGGCTCAACTTCACTTTACGTTGATGGCTCAACTGCACTCTACGCCGATGGCTCAACTACACTTAACGTCAATGGCTCAACTTCAACCAACGAAACTGACTCAACGTCACTTAGTGAGACCAACTCTTGAGTGGAATTGAGACCGAGTGAAGATGGACACATCGCGTGTAATGGATGCCTTCCAAGGTGAGAACCAAACTACCTGGCAATATAGCATCACACATTAACAATCTAATTTTCAACACGTTAGCTTTTGATAATCAGTTAACACTCACCATAGTATTGGTGGATATTTTAATTAAACAGCTGATAACTGTCAGTCACGTATAGTTTACCATGCATGAATATCCTACTATTATCGTACACCAGCATAAAGCTACCTACATGTTGTCGTTCACTATGCAAAAAGCTATGTTTTATAGTTCACCATGCTTATTGCTTACGGCTATGTTCTACTTCCAGTAATTTAATATTCACGGCATTCTGTGTATTGATGACAATCTTAATGACTCTTCATGAGAAGATATCTGGGCAAGTCGAATCACCGAAAAATAGTTTAAACATTAACAGTTTCGAAGCTTGCTTTTAAACTTGTTTTCTTTATGGCGAGTCCAGCAATTTATTATCAACAATCAAACCCCCCTCCCTTTTAATGCATTCAGTTAAGACATAGAGATTAATTAAGGCATAAAGCCTAAAATTTATAAAAAAAATCCTAATACTATTGCACGAACCTTCAGATTTCATATCACCAAGATTACCTAAAATCCCAAGAATTTTTACATTAGTATTACCCTCAAAATATTTTCTTTGAGTTACGTACAAAGAAAATTTCTCAGTTTACTACCTAACTCAAGTTCGTGAATGCCTGCAATAAATCGGTGAGGGAATTAATGTTTCAAGAGTAACAATAAAAAATATAACTCAGTACTCACTGCAGTGAGTGAAAGAGAGCGCATTTTCTCGTCGACGGAAACGTGGTCACGGACGGACGGATGGACGGACAGACAGACAGACAGACGGACGGACATGACGAGCACAATAGCTCCTTTTTTCCATAAATTAGAAAATGCGCTAAAAATGTAATGATCCATCAATATTTACAGTTCATTTAAAAATCCTGGGATGTATTTATATTGTATGTTAAATGCAATGATAGTGAATATATGAAAATGAAATATAACGAAAAACTATAAACAAACATCATTATTTGACTTGATGTGCTCTCTGTCAATATAGGGTGCGTTTGATTGATAATCAACACTTATATTTAAATCCAAGATTCCAAGTCCGAAACACACGTGGCTAACTGTCTTAATTGTTGTCATTAACAGGCCGCAGCAGTGTTGCGTGCGAGTGTAATATCATGCACAAATTGAAGGGAGTTGCGCGAAACCTCGATAATCGGAATACAATAACCAATGACAATTGATTCCATCTGTAGCATTTGCTTTGTCAGTACATGGGGGGCAGATCTTGCGCACTTGCTAGGCTCGCTAGCTCCAGTTGCAACGTCTATAACGTCGCTTAATTAATCGTGTAGTACTTTATTTATCCGCATTAGGCCTAAATAAACTCATTACAAAAATCTCATTGAATTTGTTCATATGGGCTAGAGAATAGGTAGGGAGAGATGTGTTAATGACGCATTGATAGATTGAGTGCATTGATAAAACAATGAATGGGTGAGTGGAGTGGGTAAAGCTTGATAGGATGAGTATTGGTAACTAATTAGTAAGGTCAGTGGAGTATAGGAGAAGGATACATAGGGTGAGCGCAGTAGGAAGCGTTTGCGGGACTGCAACATGACATCCTTCAAAAAGCTGTCCCATGCCACGCTACTCACCATACTCGGTGAGTGACTGCACAGTGTTTGTGCCCACGGTCTGTGATGAGCATTTTTGGCGATGAATGGTAGGTGAACATTTGTAGTAGGAATGTTATTGCGGTAGTAGGAATGTTATTAACATTAACGCAATGCAACATGGCTAATGAATATTTCACTGCGGCAGTAATGTTATTTATCCATAAATCTCCATCAATTCATATATTCTAAATTTCTTGCAATATTTTCAACAATTAAAATAGTTCTACATCAACAATAGCCGTCTCCGACAATTATATACTCAAATAATTTCAGTAACATCTAGCAATTTCTATCCTCTTGCTATTTTAACATATCTTATCTTATAACTGATCTTTCATAACATAACATAGTGATGTCGGCGCTGAAGAGTAGGCCTGATGTGACCTGTCGCCGATTCTTTTCCTTTTCGTGCCTTGTTCACAGAAGATCTAAAACCGCGTCATTTGACCGGATCTTTTCAAGACTGACGATAGTTTGAAGTAGCTACTAGACTTCCATCGGGTTCGATAAGGAGCTAGGCATTTCAAGTCTGAACATATATTTTTCCATAGCTTTATCTAGTCTGTTCTTGAACGCGTTCATACTCGGAGCGAGCGCCAACGATGCTATCATGCAGGGAGGCTGTTCCACATGTCGGTGATTAGGAGCGAGAAGAAATTTTGTCGCGTGGAGAAGTTACAGCGAAGTTTTTTTTAGCTTATAGCCGTGGCCTCTGGTCTTGGTTCTTGTTTCAAATTCTAGTAATCCTTCGGGGACCTTGTATAGACCATGAGTATACTTGTATACTTCAATGAGGTCCCCACGCAGACGTCGATAACTGAGGCTTGGAAGCTTCATAATCTTTAATCTTTTTTCATAGGACTTGCCCGTCAAGCCTGGAATTATCCTTGTTGCCCTTCTTTAAACATTCTCCACAAAATTTTGTCCTTTTCAAATCTCAATGACCTCACAACGTTTCCAAACTCTAGATTCGGGCGAACGACAGCAACGAACAACTGCTTCATCACTTCTGCATCTAGGAACTCGTAAGAGCGTCTGATTAGTCCAAGAATTTTGTTGGATGCACTAGCTTTCGTTTCAACATGTTTACAAAATTTCAGCTCCTTTTCGACATAAACTCCGAGATCTCTTTCCACACTAACCATGTCCCTAACCATGTTGTAACCATGTCTTCTCATACTGTAATCTTGCTGTTCATTGTTCTTCCCGAGGTGTGAAGTACTTTACACTTGTCAGCAATAAACCGCAACTGCCACGTATCAGCCCACTTAACTAAACTGTCAAGGACATCTTGTAATTGCGCTATATTTGACGCATCCTTCATTGTATTATAAACTTTTGTGTCGTCGACATACATGGAGCACACGCTGGAGACTGCTTCTGGCAAATCGTTTATAAAAGCAACTAACAAAATAGGCACATGAACGCTTCCTTGTGGTACGCCACTGCGCACTGATGCCCAGTCTGAAACGCGCACTGATGCCCAGTCTGACACGGTTCCGTTGATACTGACACGTTGTCGTCTACCTACTGGAAAATCTCTGATCCATTGGAGTACGTTTCCCTCAATTCTCAAAGACTTCACTTATTTATTTGACGCATCCTTAACTGTATTATAAACTTTTGTGTCGTCGGCATACATGGAGCACACGCTGGACACTACTTCTGGCAGATCGTTTATAAACGCAACGAATAGAATAGGCCCGAGAACGCTTCCTTGTGGCACGCCACTGCGCACTGATGCCCAGTCTGAAACGGTTCCGTTAATACTGACACGTTATCGTCTACCTACTGGAAAATCTCTGATCCACTGGAGTACGTTTCCCTCAATTCCCAAAGACTTCACTTTACGCAACAGCCGCTCATGCGGAACACTGTCAAGTGCTTTGGCAAAATCGAGGTACAATGCATCCACTGGCTCCCTTTCGTCCTGCGCAGGCGAGTCCAATCTTTCAACGTAGACTGTATATGACAAATCAATAAGTCATATTTCAATAATTATTTCAGTCAATACCTTTATATTGAAATTTAATTTAAATATGAAATTAATTAAAATTTAAGTTCCATATTTTTTTACCAGTATTGTTAATATATAACCCATATACGCATATAACTCATATACGCATGTGATTCATATACGCATGTAACTCTTATACGCATGTAATTAATATACGCATATATCTCATATACGCATATAACTCATATACGCATGTAATTCATATACGCATATAACTCATATACGCATAGAATTCACATACGCATGTAACTCATATACGCATATAACTCGCATACGCTTATAACTCATATACGCATAGAATTCATTTACGCATGTAACTCATATACGCATATAACTCGTATACGCATATAACCCATATACGCCTATAAGTCATTTATACGCATCTAACTCATATCGATGCGTTCACTCACGGGAAGAAAAATTCGTGAAATTTCCAATGAATGTCGGTAAACACGATAATTTTCACTGATCTTATACAGGTTTTTATTTATGCGTTCTTCCATCGACCAGAACCAGTAATACAATGTCTTGATAGGACTGTATATCAATGATATACTGTTTACAGTCATGCGGTGTATTTCTATATTATAGATCAATATTCCAGCAGAAAAGTCAGTATACTTTAATGATGTTGCGATTATAATGTTAATATTAATTACAATTATTAAATGAAACAGAACAATATTAATTTTGTGAAGTTTCCGCAATATCATTCGTTTCGTAAAACAAATGTAGATCGAATTCGTAAACAAAATTTTGCTCACAATGTCGCTTCTTTATAAAGTCTACGGTAAAAGCTCCTGATATTTGATCATTCATATAATGAAGGCTTCATTCACTATCGTGGACCTTTGAAGAGGACCCTTATGAGTCTCTTACAAAATAATACTATATTGTGTATTGAACACGCATAATTGAAATTATTGCGTCTCTAATGAATATGCGAAGTTTGAGCACATATACAGTATTCACAGGAAGGTGAAGCGTGTCAGCTAGAACATAAAATGTGATGTGCTCCATATTATTAAGCGCAACTTAAGGCAATTTAAAACTAGAAAATCACCATTAAGTAATGTTCACATGAAACTACGCTCATCATATTTTCTAGATCGGCTATTGTATTTGATTAATGATGTTCATGTCCTTGGAGTGGGAGGATTATTGACGTAGAAAAGAGCCGATGCTTTGCTGCGTCCTGCAGACTGTACAGTACACTGAAGCTGGCGCCATCACTGATGTTGCTCCTGCTCCTCCGCCACGTTGCGTTACGTTAGTGTGCATCTTACCGTCGTAGGAGGAGGT